AGATCTGCCATCACCCAACCAAGCGCGCAGCCCCCAGCTTTCTTCCTCGGTGGTTGGCGCGACCCCAGGTCTTGGGACCCCATTCCATGACTAACTGCAACTGCGCTACCCATGCAACCACGCAGCTCCTTCTCGAAAGATGATGCGGAGGCGGGAGAAACGGGTGCGGAGTAAGTGCTGCTGCCAAAGACGACGTGTCGGTGCTTATGCGAATTTGGTGTGGATGATGTCTGGGTTTTCCTGCCATTCGTCTTTCTCTACCCACATCTGCACGCACGTGTCAGTTCACTGGCTACAGCCTCGTTGGGAATAAGGAACTTACCTTCTTGAAGGTGCTGAGGCCCGCAAGAATGCTGCCACCGGTCCACGTGGTGTAGATGCGCTCCGGTGGTGCTAAGATCTTGATCCTCATGTCCTTCACCGCCAGTCTTTGCACCTCATGAAGCAGCCTGTTTCCGAATCCCTTTGTCAGTGTGGAACCTCCAGAGAGTACAATGTTGCCATAAAGCGCCTTTCGGAGGTCCATGTCGGTTCTGTGTATCGCCTCGACGACAATCTGGTGTACGCCAGGGTACTCCAGACCAATGATCTCGGGGTTGAAGAGTATCTCTGGTGCTCGGAAGCGTTCCGCTCCGATCTGGACTGTCAGCTCGTGTACGATGCGTTTTGTCATTTGTACTCACCTTTATCTTCTGGCCATCAGGTAGTGCGTAGTCGACGCTCTTGCCCTCTGATCTGGACGAGCCTGACCAGTCCTTTTCCTCCTTGGCCGGATCGAGTGCTACGTATCCTGTTGCCTCTTTGATATTCTTGACCGTCTCCTTCTCAGCGCTGGTGTGGAAGACGCGGCCGCTTTTCCTCAGCAGTTGCTGGAAGTGCTCTGTAACGTCTCGGCCTGCCACGTCTATCCTCCTGATGCTGTTGGGAATCGCAAAACCCTGGAAGACTGGCACTGCATGCGACACACCGTCTCCCGAATCTAGAACTAGACCAGTTGTCTTGCCGGATGCGTATAACGAAAGGACAGCTTGGACCGATGTGTATAAGGCGGGCACATTAAACGTCTCGAATAAAATCTGGGCAGCCGTATCGCGGTTTTCTCGGGGGTTTAGCGGAGGCTCTGTGAGGAGTACAGGATGCTATAGAGACAGATAGTCAGCTTGATGCCCCTCAATCGCTCGAATGGCAGTCTGCCACGGCCCAACTCACATCTTCGCTGACGGTCCTCAGGCCTTCTGTATAGACATACTGCCATATCCGCTCCATATCATCCCAGTCTGTGACAATGCCGTGCTCCAATGGGTAGTTGATCTTGAAGAGCCCCCTATATTGTTGTGCTTGTGGTCCTATGAATACGTCGCCCTCCAATGCGCCTGCCATTGTCCGCACATGCTTCGGCCTTCCTACGTATGACGGGAAGAAGCATTTCGGCACATCCTCGCCTGCAAATCCAGCTCTGATAGTTCCACTGCCGTTGTCTATCACGATCGGAGCATTGTGTAGTCGGGAGCCCATGGCGGGGTTGGGGGATAGCGATGGATTCGGACGTTGGTAATCTAGGAGAGCGGTCGGCGGCGATGACGATAGAGACGGTTTTTCTGGCGAGGCGAAGAGCTGGTGTCGTGGCAGCTTCCCCAGGTTGGAGCTCCTTCTGAATCGCGAAAGTTCACGACGCGCTTCGGCATTGACGACAGGGGTACCCTCACCGCATCACGTGCCGGCGCTCGCACCTCCAAGAACACGCATCTGCTCCTGCGCATCCATCATCTACAACGACCACAGTTACGATTTGTCCTTCGTCTTTGTTCCATTGTACTATCTCATATAGCAAGCAATACAATCACGGTACCTAGCATTGTTTGGCCCCCAGCCGAGCGCCTCACGCACCCCGCGTCAGCACTATCCAGGCAACCACCCGTGGACGACTACCTAGGTACAATGAACATCATGCTTCGCAATGTACTGTCTGCTGTGTCCACATGCCAAAGGCTTACACTTTCCAAACTTTCTGCAGCTCCACCTACATTTTGACTGCCTACTAGACCTCCCAGAAGCATGTCGTCAGTAAAGCCTAACCCTGCCATGCAGGCCGCTGCGGCCAGTTTCTCCTCTGTCATACAGAAACGCGAAGATGCTTTCTACGAGCCAAGGAAGCAGCCTTACTATTGCGTCTCGCCTGACGGCAATTGGACACCAGCAACATCCGACCAAGCGTTCCCAAAAGACGAATCAGATACACTTCTTCATCCCAGGAAGCTTCGTTTGATATCCTGGAATATCGATGTCCTCGTTCCGTTCGCAGAAGAACGAATGAGCGCTGCACTAGATCATTTGCACGACTTAGTATCATCGACCCCGCCAGAAATCGCAATCGCCATATTTCTACAAGAGATGGGAGTATCAGACATGGAGCAGATACGAGACTCGGCCTGGGTCAAGCAACGCTTCAACCTCACAGATATCGACTCGAAAAACTGGCTGAGCTCTCACTATGGAACGACGACACTCGTCGATCGGCGAGTGCACATAGACTCTGTGTTTCGCGTTCCGTGGTACAGCAAGTTCGGACGAGACGGCCTATTTGTGGATATCAAGCTCTACAACTGCATTCGTGCAGATCTTCCGGTGAAACTGCTGCGGCTATGTAACACACATCTGGAGTCTCTGGTTGCTGATCCGCCTGTCCGCCCCATCCAGATGGCAGCCGCGAAGCGGTACCTCAGCCAGAACGACGTCGAAAGCGCAATACTAGCTGGCGACCTCAATGCTATCGAGCCCTTTGATCGCTCTCTACACACAGATAATGCGCTCGAGGATATTTATCTCTCTATTGGCGGTCACGCCAATGCACCAAGTGACGCTACCGTCTTCGGTAACTTCAACAACAATGTACCCACTAATCGCAATGGGCCCGGAAAAGAAGACAGCGACCACGGGTATACCTGGGGTTACCAGTCTCCGCAAGCCATGAGAGATAGGTTTGGATGTAGTAGGATGGATAAGATCTTGCTCCAAGGGTGGCTAGGTCCTTGCAAGTTCCAGAGGATTGGTATGGGCGTCAAGGTAGCAGAGGAACATAGACAGATCATGAAGGAGGCGGGAGAGTTAGATTGGGTCTCAGATCATTATGGCGTCATGGGCGATTTTCTGCTCACTTATCGTGGACAGCTGAGGAAGTCTGAACTATGACAGCAAGTGTAATGTGGGCGATGTCGCGGACGCTCTTTATCAACACCTTCTCAATCTGACCAAATGCTCATCTACCTCCAGTGGCACTTTCCATGTTCATCGAGTTCAAGCCTAGGCCTACTATATTGGCGCTTCCGGATATTCTTTGTTCTACTCCTCTGGTTCACATTGACTCAGACGAGTACCGGGTGGTGCACCCATAGCTTCTGTAATCTCATACATACGTTCAATGCCTACAAACATCTTTCAGATGACGCAAAGAAACAACACTGAAGCGATGGCACCTTCAGTTATCATTGGTATGCTAAGTAACATGAGGTACAATTCGGCTAAACAGCTACATGTACGGATCTAGCCCAACCCAGCAACTCTTGAATCCGTGTTCTTCTTCAAATGGTACTGTCACAACCAAGTTGGATAGTCCAAAAAAGCATTGTAAACTTGTAAACAGCAGCAGTCTAGCACTCATCCGACAAGCACCTTGTCCACTTCTCATCAACGATGAAAGCTATATTCACGTATTCATTCACGTGATGCATCGGATCATGAAGCCGCATCTCCTTCATCCATTGCGTCATTCGATCACCAGGTGAGTCCTCGCCGGCGGCGGAGCTGCCCACACACTTGCATGACCACGCATGCATCCACTTCTCCGCAACCCCTTTTTTTGTCCAAAAGAACAGCGACGGGGACTGTTCTGTATTCAACCAGCACTCCACATGCTCGACGGAGTCTTGTATGAACGCGTGCAGCCCAGGTGCAGCTTCTGGCTGTGTGAGGGTGCTCATTATACGCAGCATGCGGCGAGGTGAAAACTGCGTAGTAGCAGGACGGTGCTGCAATGGCGAGGCATCGGGTAGCGCGAAGGCTACGTTGACTTGTGGAGCGCTTTTGCAGAGATTGATGAGATGTATGATATCCCTTTGGGGCGACAACTTCCCTCGGGATTCAAATGCTGAGTCGGGCATCTCCACTGTAAGATCCCCACGGGCCAAAGTGGGCTCTACTCCAGCAGGGAGAATGAAAGTGTTGATGTAAGAAAGCGAGTCCAGGCACTGGACATGAACCTTGGTCTGTGCCCTGTACATAGGTAAATACTCTAACCGAAGCTGGCGGCAGACTTGTGTGAGACCGAAGAACTGTCGCTCAGTCGGATTTGTCTGCTCGTGTTGCTGGGTGGGCTTGCAGATAAGATGAACATCGCTCGGTTCTCGTGCGAATTCGTAGATACGATTGCGGAGCTCTGTTAACATACGTTAGCTCATTGTCGTACGGCTATCTTTACTCCTCGAGTGCTAGCTCTTACTCACCTCCGGGGAGCTTTAGAAGGGGGCTCGTGGGTACGCTGTTGACAGACATATCTGTTGGCTGCAAGTTTATGACTTTGGTGTTGAGGTAGCAGAGATTCGAGAAGGAGATAAATATGGGCTTGTGATACTCATGTGACGCTAAGGAGCGCTTTCGATGGGAAAGTTGCTTTATTACCTGGTGGCAAGGCTGCCTAGATGTACCTCGCATGTGCTTCGATGTGAATGTATCCGACTACCATAATCTACCGAGGCAGATGTTGCGGCCTCGAGTTACCTCAATGAATACATCGGGTAGAGTGAAACAATGTAGTCAGATAAGAGGAAGCCGAAATGTATACAAAGCGTGCCTGGGCCTCTATTGTCGAGGTATATTGCCACTGCAGAAGCGACATGAGTCCCAACAATTCTCATTCATCACACAGAAAACCTCTGAATACACACAAGCTTCAGCAACCACCATGATATGTCAGTTTTTTGACTTTATTTAGACCTCTCACGAGGTCATGGGAGAAACTGCAGCGGCCTCGGATTTCCCCAGTGATCGCTTGGGTTGAACCTCCAGGCACCCTTATGCTTTCGCGTGAACCAATATGCGTTCAGGTACGGGATGAAGAAGGGTACGGGTGGGAAACTACCACTACCGGGATAGCTTCTGTCGACACAGCCAAGTACCAACGGGATGACGAGATTCTGAAGAAGCAGCTTATCAGTGTTTTGCTTGATGGTAAGCGGCTAGTGAAAATATTGAAATACGTACCGGATCAGCAGTTTTTGCTCCTTCGTCGGCTACTTCTTCCATCGCCTGCTTGATCTTTTCTCCATCACACTTTTCGAGTCGTATCAAGGTATCGATCTCGTCATGTAGATGCTGAGTGAGGATGGGTGCGAATTCATCGATCAGGCTCTTCAGTTCCGCCGCGTCATACGTTCTCTGTCCAGCCCCAACTTCTTCGGCCCACTTCACCAGCCCTGCAATCTTCGGCTCAAACTCATGATGCTGGTCCACGTTTCCTCCCATCATGCCTTCCCAGCCATCTATTCCAGCCTCTCTTGCGATCTGCTCTATCTTTGGAAAGAACATAGCCTCTTCAAGGGAGTGGTGGTGGTGCACGGTATCCGCCCATGCGGTGACGTACAGCATAAGATCCGCAACATCGCCAGGAAGTTGAATGAAGGGCGCTTGGTGATATATGGAATTTAGAGCGCGGAGCAAGACGTTGTGGACATTGGCCATCTCTATGGCGACACTGAGAACACCGGCGTTCGTGCATACTGGTGCGTTTGGTTGACCGGGAATGTTGAGGAGGGCGAATGGTGTATCCGCCCATGTGTTTGCTTCTGCCTTGGTGTTCATGCTGAAAGTTGATGGCAAACAAGTAAAGGGTGAATGTCGAACAAAAGCTATGGATGAATGGCACATCGCTGTAGCCTAGCTATAGCTTGGCCTTCGAGGCTCATGTGCGATAGGCGCTGCTTACTGCGCATACGCGAATCTGTAGGGCTGAACGGTGTACGGTTGAGATTTTCTTCTTCGGGTTAGCAGGCAATCCTCTTGCCAGCTGGCGTAAGCAGTACGCTCCTTACAGACAATGCGCGAGAGGTTGTCGGAATCTTACACCCCTAATGCTAATGTCTGCGCATTCGTATTCTCAACGCCTTCGGGGATTAAAAGGGATTGCGCTCGGTGCGACCAACGGATTGTTAGTCAGGGCTCTGTGCAGTACGTCTGCTGATGCTGCGATGTTCTACCGTGCTGTTGTTGCTACTGCGCAGGCACATCGCGACTGCTGGACACTTGGGCTATTGGTACAGATGCTGTTTGTTGAGTGTCTAGGTATTCATGTCCGTACACCTCCGGTAGAGGTCGCAGAGCGTATCTCTGGTCTGAGACTGCGCAACTTCTGAGAGGCTTTGAGAAGATTCGGCTTCGACTGCGCTGGATGCTTTGGTGTTGGGAAGCCCTGGTATTCGCGCAACAGGGAAATGAAGGGCGAACTAGAGCCTTGGCAGATGACATAGCTTCTCGGTCCCTATCTTGAGCAACTTCACGGCGGCGTGGCACCTCGTTGTTTCATCAATACCACCGAACAAGCATCCTCCCGACTGCTCGCCGTAATCCGCGCATAATGACGTTGTGAGGACAGCGCCTCCAGGAGTCACCATGCGCATGAGCAGAGAGAGTAAAAGCGCAATCGCGGAAGCACGCGCAAGACATCTGCAACCCAACGAACAATTAAGCAGCGAGCTCATAAGAACGATGTGTTCTTTAAAGAGAGTTCTACGCCTTAATGTATTAATGTAAACCTAGTTTTATTTACTAAGATACTAGTCTAGAAGTAGATTTTTTTCTCTTATAACACTACTTTCTTATATAAATAGTAAATATTATAAAAGCTTAAAACTAAGCTATAATACTTTAACTACTTCTACTATCTTAAACTAGTTATATACTAAACTTAGTAAGTAGTATATTTACTAAGCTTACTTTCTACTACTATACTCTTTTTAAGAATTTTCTCTTAAAATTTATTAGCTACTACTTAGTAGTAAGTTAAAAAAGTAGTATTTTAATTATAGCTACTTTTTATATATAAAAGTAGAAATAACTTAGTACTATAATATTAAAAACTTTACTTTGTTATAGATTAAACCTAGAATCTCTATTCTAATTAGGCCTAGTGCTGCGCTAGCGCGTAGCCTGTGTAGAAATATTAAAACTTTAGTCTAAGATTACTATTTGCTTAATAACGTAGTATCTTATAAGTAATATAATCTTAACCTATATTTCTACCTATTATACTATACTACGTTTAATAAGATACCTATACCTAGACTCTATACTCTACTTTATTAGATTATATTATAACTAGTTACAAGAGACTGCGCTTAATTTAAATAAGCTAAAGAAGGCCTAACGCTATTATAGTAATTGCTATTACGCTTATTACATAAATTAGATACCTATACCTCTTTAGAAATAACGCTATTAAGATAAGTACTAGTAATAGCTAATAGCCTATAGAGCTTTATTATATAACTATAGAGTAGAACTTATAGGCTAGCTAGTTAGGTACTTATTAAGAGCGTACTAAAGAACTATAAAGATAAGAGAGGCCTATTTAGAGCTAGCTAGACGCCTATTACTATAATAGTTAGACTTATTAATAGAGAATACTATAGAAGTATTAGGCTTAGTTATATAAGTAACTAAGAATTATAGAATTAAAAGAGAACTAGCTTATTCTACTAGTAAATATTAGAAGGTAGTAAATATAATAAGTAAGTAGACGTAGTATACGCTCTTAGTGTAACTAATTACGTCTCTATAATATCTACACTCTACTTTCTATATATAAGAGTTGTATAGAGATTAGATAATAATATTATATTAAATTATAATATTATTATAGTAAGGCTTAGAAGAAGTACTTAGAGGTTAAATATATATAGTGTAGACTATTAGCCTAAAGTAGGCCTAATACCTAGAGAACTAAACTATTATACGTCTTTTAGCAAAAAACGCTTAAAGTTCTAACTAAGTAGATAAAATAGAAAAGAGATTACCTATCTTTTTACGTAAGACTATTAATAGATAACCTAAGGCCTAAGAGCTAAAGTAAGTAGGTATAGAGGTTAATATAGAGAGCTAATAGAAAGGTAATAGAGATAATAATAAGAAAGGTAATAAGAATAATAGTAGAGATAGTGTTGTAGATTTAGTAATATGCTAGAGTGTCTTAGAGAACTCTAAATTAGGTAAAGATCTATAGTATTAAGTAGAGTAATAGAATATTACCTTAGAGCTACTATTATTTATAAAGGTTAAAGTTAGGTAAAGATATACGTTGTAATTACTTTAATAAGTAAGTATAATATAGTTAAGTAAGTTTATAAATAACTAGCTAGTTCTTTCTAAGTATATAAAGTCTAATAGGTAGAGTAGAGTAACTATAAGCTTACTATAGTTATTATATACGTAAAACGTATTATAAGAGCCTAGCTTACTAGAGTTATAATTATAGAAGTTCTAGATAGACTTTTTACTTTCTTATAGATTAAAATATAGTTACTAGTATAGAGATTAATTATTTCTAATCTATTTAACCTTATATTATAGATAGCTATAATAGCTAGTATAGAGATTATTTATTATCTACTAGATATAGAAGTCTAGAACCTAGGTAACTATAAACTTAGTGTCTTTGTTGTTAGTAAGATAAATCTTAGAAAGAGCATAATTACTAGCTCTAGGCTAGTCTAGTAGAGCGTTATTTTTATATAGTTATAGAAGCTATAGATAGAAGGCTAGAAATAAAGCCTTAAGGTTGTCTAGAAGGTCTAGTTTATAAGCTATATAGTTAATAATATAGGTAATCTAATATAGGCCTATATTCTTATAGTCTAGTAACTTTACTAGTTACTTAGTTTAAATATAGTAGGTATTAAAAAAAACCTAGTTACTAACTTTAAAGCGCAGAGCAGAGTAGTAGTAGATATTAGTAAAGTTCTTTATCTTATGTTACGTCTAAGTAATCTTATTATAGAGGTACTAGTGTATTATATTAATATAAGCTATAAGCGCGTTAGCGGCGTAGAGCTATAAGAGCGCTAGTATAGTGTTAGTAATAGCGTAGGCTAGTTCTAAGCTAGAGTAGAGCTAATATCTCTTTATAGCCTAAAATAGAGAAACTCTAGTTACTAAGCTAATAGCTAAGTTAGCTTTAAACTTAGCTAGTAGTAATAACTACGCCTAGTTATTCTATAGGTAATTAATATAAAAGCGTAAGTATTGTTTAAGGTCTATATTAGTATTCTTAGTCTAACTATTAGTTTCTAGGTAATATATAGTACTAAGTTTAGGTTATATACTAACTTACTTATATAACTAACGCTAGAAGTGTAAAGTAAACTAGCGCTTATAATTAGAAATAAGAGTCTTAGAGTAGCTCTTCTTACGCTAGATATACTCTAGAAACTTATTAATAATAGTAGAGACCTTTATATTATCTATAGTAATAAACTTCTTCTTTTTTAATAGCCTATTAATAATAACTATAATATAATAGTAAGTATATCTATACTAGAAGAATAGTAGTAAAGGCGTAATAAAGTTAATAGAGACGTCTTTCTAATACCTTTTAGATATAGGTAAAGAGTATAGTAGGCTATACTTAGCGTAATAATTAACCTTAGAGTAATAGTACGTTATATAGTAGTTAGTAAACCTAGTAATTATATCTATTATACTCTACTAGTAGTACTACTAACTAAGCTATTAATATATTATTATTTAACTACTATAGCCTTCTAGAAGAAAGTTATAGATATTCTTAATAATATAGGTCTATAGCTTCTTACTAAACAGAACTAGTAGATAGTTATTACGTAGAAATAGCTTGCTATTATTACTTAACTCTAAGTTTTCTAACTCTAGCTAGAGTCTCTTAATAATAAAGTAGTAGAGAATACGTTAATTACTATTATTAAGTATATCTTATATAGTAGTTAAGCGCGTGTTAATAGAGTAAAGGTAATTAAGAATATCTTAGGTTAGTAAGTTATTAGCGCTATTAATATTATTATAAGAATTATATTATTCTTATAGAGATATATAAGTAAGTTTAATAGTAATATAGCTTAGTTAGAAGCTACTTTTGCTAGTCTTATATAGAAGAGTAAGAAGTAATAGTAAGTTATACTTAACTTTACCTAGATATAGAGATACTAGCTTTACAGCGTTGTAGCTTTCTCTATTCTAGTAGTAGTCTTCTAAAATAACTTAGTATTAGTGTTATACTTAGTTATTAGTAATATGCTTAGGTAGGTTTTCTATACAATAAGTAAAGCTATTAGGTTTAGTGCCTTACTTTCTAGGTCTATACTTTACCTTAAAGTTAAACTCTTTTAGAAACTTAGCTTATTAGGCTTATTAGTAATTAAGATATTATTTAGAGTAGAAGTATTTAAGCCTATAGTAATCTATAAGAACTTTAATAGTGTTAGATATTCTAGTAAGTTTAGAGCGCTACTCTTTAAATACTTATATAATAGTAAAAAGCTTTTTATTATAGATCTTATAGTTATACTCTATAGATATTATCTTCTTTAATAAATACACTATAGAGTGTATAAACTTATTAGCTTAGATTTATAAGAGAATAGCTATATATATATAGTTAAAGGCATCTATCTTAAGAATACTCTTTAGGTCTAAGTTAAAATAAGCTAAGACAACATTACTATAGAATACCTTCTTTAGCTACTTAAAAGAATAAGCAGCGTTAGAAGTTATTTAGAATAGAGAGAGATTACCTTATATAAAATGCGTAAGAGGTTTAGTAATATTAAAGAATC